CCACCTGCGCCCGCCATACAGCCTCCCCTCTCTCTCTCTCTCTCTTTCTCTCTTCTTGTTCTCTCTACTTGTTCTCTCTCTTTTTTTCTTCTTCTTCACTCTCTCTTCTTTTCACTCTCTCTTCTCTCTCCCTCTCTCTTCCTTCTCCACTTCTCTGTCTCTTACATTACCTATCTGTCTCTCTCAATTTTTCTCTTCTTTTCTCTCTCTTCTCCCTCTCACCTCTTTTTCTCTCTCTCACTCTCTCTTCTTCTCTCTGAAGAAGAATCGGTGAAGAACTTTCGAAGATTAGCGATTTTGAACAAAGGAACATTTCCATTTTTGTTTATATAGATTACCTGACGAGAATTTAAATAATATCTAACTCCCTCAAATGGCAACCCTAGTCTTATTGTCTCATTAAGTTGTGTAATTACAAGGAAAAGAATTTTCCGTTTCTACTGAAACATGTTTGCGCATGCGAGACGGGTTGAGGGAGAGAGGAGGTGCGCATTCGAGACTTGCTTTCAACATCACCTGGAGTGAGGAGCGCCATAGCACACTGGCGAACACGTGATCAGCCTTTGCAGTTAATTGGTCTGGAATACGTTAATGAGTGGACCACAACGATTATTGTGCCTGTTGTGACTCCATCAGTGATCCTAGAATCGTCTCGGCGAACATCCATACGGTTAAGTGGCCATAATACTTATATGAAGCTTCTTATACCTATTTATGCCCTTGTTCATCGTTATGTCATGTGCCCTCCTCTAAATACAAGTATGTCCCCAGTGAACTAAATTTACTCCCGTTATTGTTTAATAATGGTATATTCAGTAGAGTGTAAGCAAATTCGACATTGTACTGGGTTAACAGCAGGTGTTGAGATCGTCTCAGGAGAGATCAACTCCCCCGCCATACTTGTCAGACGCGTGTTCCAACAAGTTCCAGATGACGCCATCCCCACACTCGCGCTATTGTTCACTGTCACAGCTAAGAGGCTGAATTCTTTCTAGTTTATTTATTAATCTCTTAAATGCAATTGAGATAAAATAATATTTCATCATTATAAATCATTTATGTATGCCATATAAATTTTGTGCATAATTTCTTTATTACTTTACTAATATATTGATAGGAATAAATATCTTATCTTATGCTAATTAATGCATTATTCTGTCATTGATTAATTCTTGTTTTACCAAGACTGATTTATTGAACTTTACTTAATTTCTGATTTATACTTGTTAGTAAATTTTACTAACCCTGTCGATGAAGAACCAGCATCGATTCAGTGTACTAGAAATGTATTAATTTCTAGTATTAACTCCCGAAGTAATTTGGAACGTTTAACTCTTAATTAATTATCATGATTACCGTTCATTTATGCTCTACAAATGGTTTATTAGTGATTATACCGTCCATAGGCACTGGGATCTTAGTTCGGTTTATAACTACATTTCTTTTACCCATTTTAGTAAAAAAGGGTGGTCCTTCGAATATTTTATTTTAATCAATTAAATATTACTTACATTAAGAGTTAGATTTCCCACAGGGAGTACATCTAGAAGTGACTCCCAACATGAGTGCTCAGGCATTCATACAGGCTTTCTGCAGGTTTGCTGCATGTCAATCCTGCCTCAAGTTAATGATCTTAGACAATGGGTCTAACTTGGTAGTATGGGAAGCATGTCTGTGGGAAGTCTGAAACCATCTAGTGGTACACACTGCCCTGAATCAACGGCAGTGCTACTGGAAGTTTATACCCCCAAGAGCACCATGGCACAGAGGTTTCTATAAACGGATGGTGGGAACAGTGAAACGCTGTCGAAGAAAAGCCTTCCACCATCAGAGGTTAGATCTCAAGGAGCTACAATGTGTTGTCACTGAAATCGAATCTCGGGTCAATAACAGACCACTGACCTACCTCTTGGACGATTTCTTGCAACGTGAGTCATTAAATCCATCTCATCTGATGTAAGGAGGACTTCTTAGCCTTCTAGCGTCCCTCATGGACGAGGGCCCAAAAGATCCTTCATATGTCAGAGAGAGTGACTTGGTTCATAGCAATAAACACCTCTCACAAGTAATAAGTCTGTGGAATGATGTTTGGGCTCAAGAATACCTAATTGCTCTAAGTGAGTCACATCATGGGGCAAACAATCCCTACAACAAAATTAACCTAACACCTGATGATATTGTTTTGATGGTCTGTGATGGACCACATTCAGAGTGGCCTCTGGGTCGTATAGTCTCTGTCCATCCAGACAACCAGGGTATCTTGAGAATAGTGAAAATAAAGTGCCGAGGCACCACTACTCTCAAAACCTTAGAGAAACTAATTCCTTTGAAGCTAGCAGGAAATGAAGTAGCCAAAAGGACCCCCCCCCACACACACACCTGCAGCTCCAGAACGGGACATCACTTCGGAAAGAACAGCTGCACAACAGTGCAAATTAAACATTCAGCAGTATTATAATTCTGAAGAAGCTTAGTACCACCAGAGTTAGCAGGAAAATTAAATGGCCTAGAGACTTCCAACACCTGCAACTCTAGTACATGACATCCGACCTGTACAAACTGATGCACAAATGTGCCACTAACCAATAATTTCAAGTTAATCTAATAATTCTGAGGAGTATCAGTGTTCATCAGTTCTAAGCAGTGGACTCCAACCTGTGTTATTCCCCCCAGAATTGTGTTGGAAAATTCCAACACAAAATTACTAACACCTAACATACCAAACAAAAATGGTTATTTTAGGAACATACTATAACATTACTAACTACTAACTTCATTAAAAGAAAACGGGTTTCAGTCTCATCTCAAGGGAACCGGGATATTTGCCAAGTCACCAAAATCTTTATTTACACTCATCACTTATCCTTAAACCACCAGCCTGGGGATTAAATATGATAAAAAAAAAGTATTCCCGAAGACAGGATTTAACTGAATGACAAATAAACATGAGGTCAATTTCCCTAAGCTAAAAAAGACAAATATTGAACTGACAAGAGGCGCATCTGTCACCAGGAGGGAGAGCCGCCACTCTATTGTATGACACCCATGTAGCCAAGAGGATACGCTTGAGCGAGTACTCAGAACCTTCCTGCAAAAACAAGTGTTCTGAGACTCATCATCTCCTGTTATCTTCACAAACTTTGTTAGCCATAAGAAAGTGTTCTAGTTCCAATTGACTGATAAGAAACAGTGATCACTAATACTATAGATCAATTGGTTAGGATGCAGGCTGCCTACCCAAAACGGGTAAGAAGAAAATCTTAATTATAATCTCCTTCTAGCAATATGTCTCAAATTATTATTGCGTTTGTTACTGTTACGATATCAACATCTTCTCTGGAGTGAGGTGTGGCGATAGCAACCCTATCTATAAACCTGCACTCCAACTCCAAGGCATTAGGTGAGACGAAGACACCACCATCTATTGACGGAGGTGTGGCACGTTCAGCACCATCTGTGAATGGCTCCTGTTCGTACCTCCGTTAGGAGGTTAGGTCGATAATGAAAGCCTCTGGTGGTTGAAATAACGATGTCAATACCATCTAGAGTGTGTGTCCGATTATATTTACAGTTCCCTGGAGAAAAGCTGCCATCATATGTTCTCCTTGTATACTTTTTGTCTGACTAATGTCTATTATGTTCACAGAGGTGACGTGGAGAGTCTACTGCACAGTGGAAAGCAGTTCACCTTGGGCAGTCTAGAACTCCCGACTCGTTCCTGTGAGGACATGTGGCCGTCGTCGGTAGTAGACAGTGTGTTGGCTGTTGTACATATGCAGTGTTTTGTGGACAGATGTACCCGGGATTTGGCCAAAAGGAGTTACAAGACGACACTATTGGTCGTCTGCTGAGAAGTGCTGTTAGACTTCTGCCAGAGTGTTAGTGGAGACCTCTGGAAATATCATTTGTGATCCAGTCTGTGTGTTGATGAATACATCTGCTAGTGTGTTTCAGGAAAGCAGATGAGGGGTATTTGGACATCGTGACAATACGGTGTAGGACTGGCCTATGTTGAGTAAGGTGAACACCGGGATTTGAAGAACACTGCAGATATATTGAGTGTCCTGTGCAGAAGAGACAGTGTACATATGTGTAGTAGTATGACAGTGATTATATATCAGTAAAGGTGCTATTTATACTTGATTGCCCCCTTTTTTGTTTCACAATTGCTTACTACTGCCAAATTTTAATAACTTGCCATTGATTTGGGGTGGGATCATAGAAAAAGAAGCTCTAGGGCCCGACACGCAGAAAGACCCCTGTAACAGGCTCAAGCAGGCCACAACAGTTAGTGTAATGAATTCGCTTGAAAACCTGAGGGGAAGGATAAATCCTACAATAAATCCTTTGGTTCTTCCCAGACCTTGTCCTGATGCCATATTGTTTCGACCTCAGGCGAAGCAGTTCACATGTTCAGGACACGTGCACGGCTGAGTAACCAAACATAATCTACATGACAGCTAAGCTGTTTTCACTATTTTAATAATCCATTTTAGCTGTTGACTAATCTTGTAGCATAATCTATTAATTAATTTATTTGATTGATAGCTACATACATAACCCCCCACCCCCAAATATGTGAGCAGGAAAACACCTAGCAGGATAATCTCAGAATACACAGTCCTCCTTTTAAAATATACAGTCTACTATAAATTAATAATTATCAATTAAAATCAGTTTAAAACTAAATAGTTAATACATAAATATATGAACAAGTAAAATCCTGCTGGGAAAATTCTCCACAAGCATAGATAGAATATCACAAAAATGCTAGAAGTGCATGCCAAATTTAACCACGCCTTTTGTTAGTCTAACTCATGGCACGGTAGTTGCACTAATGGCTATTTGTTTAAATAAAATATTATCTAATGTATAAATATCACTGCGGTTTGTCAATAGAGGATTAATGACAAAATTGGACTTTTAACAAAGCTGATTAGTTTGACCTTGTGGAGTTTAAGACAGGAATATTGTTATAAATAACCAAATAAAATTCGTCACTATGATGTGAACAGATACTTTGAGAACTTGTCAGGGAAGAGCGGTAGGCTGGAGGTGAGGGTGAGGCCTCGGTGGGGCGTCCACGAAGCCACCTTCAGTGCCTGGGCTCCCTGGGGACTGTAGGGCTGCTGGATGTACATACTGCACCTGTAAATAATCAGTAGTGAATCTTAGGCTTTGATTTGACACATAATTTTCAAATCTTTGGAATTTACTGGTATTGCAGTATTTAACCAATATGTGGTTCGAATATGTAAAATCCTGCTGGGAATAATAGCAGATTTCCCAGTAAAATCCTGCTGGGAATAATAGTTTAATAGCACATAATTAAAATATTATCATTCATTTTTATTAATGGATTTGAAGAAGTTTGTGTTTTAACCTTGTCCAATTAAATTGCCCTGATAAATTTTTATTTACACGAATACATAGCTTTATAACTGGCCAATTATATATATATATATATATATATATATATATATATATATATATATATATATATAATGTCGTACCTAGTAGCTAAAATGCACTTCTCAGCCTACTACGCAAGGCCAGATTTGCCTGATAAGCCAAGTTTTCATGAATTAATTGTTTTTCGAATACCTAACCTACCTAACCTAACCTAACCTAACTTTTTCGGCTACCTAACCAAACCTAACCTATAAAGATAGGTTAGGTTAGGTAGGGTTGGTTAGGTTCGGTCATATATCTACGTTAATTTTAACTTTATTAAAAAAAAATTGACCTCATACATAATGAAATGGGTAGCTTTATCATTTCATAAGAAAAAAATAGAGAAAATATAATAATTCAGGAAAACTTGGCTTATTAGGCAAATCGGGCCTTGCATAGTAGGCTGAGAAGTGCGTTCTGGCTACTAGGTACGACATTATATATATATATATATATATATATATATATATATATATATATATATATATATATATATATATAAAGTTTGTGAGGGTACCACCTCTGGTGCCAATGTGGGGACCCATAGCCTCGGAGAAGAAAATAAAAGTATTCAGAGGAGACCTTGCGGTTTCTCACTTAACACTAATATTATCTTCTCCTACCACCCCCATTCTTTTGTATGTACACATATATATTTACTTTATTTGAACTTTGTTACAAAAAAGGTTATATATTATATAAATAAAGTTATATATATATATATATATATATATATATATATATATATATATATATATATATATATATATATATATATATATATATATATATATGACTACACGTGCGTATCAACCCTAGCTAACACCTACATTAACCTCAGTGTTGCACAACCAGGTGGTGCTGCCACCCACAGGGAAGCAGCCAAATCCTGTAAGTATAGAGAACTGGATTACCACTACAATTTTGTCCCCATTGCTTCTGAGACACTCGGCGCCTGGGGTAAAAGTGCTACCAGTTTTTTGAAGGAACTGGGTTCTAGGCTCATTGAAACAACAAGGGACCCAAGAGCTGCAAGCTTTCTTTTCCAGCGCCTCAGTGTGGCGATACAGAGGGGAAATGCGCACTGCATCCAGGGTTCCTGCCCGCCATCTGAGGAGCTGGAGGAACTCGACAACCTATGATAACCATCTTTGTAACCCATATGTAACTCCTTTTTTGTAACAAAGTTCAAATAAAGTAAATATATATGTGTATATATATATATATATATATATATATATATATATATATATATATATATATATATATATATATATATATATATATGTCGTACCTAGTAGCCAGAACGCTCTTCTCAGCCTACTATGCAAGGCCCGATTTGCCTAATAAGCCAAGTTTTCATGAATTAATCGGTTTTCGACTACCTAACCTACCTAACCTAACCTAACCTAACTTTTTCGGATACCTAACCTAACCTAACCTATAAGAATAGGTTAGGTTGGGTTAGGTAGGGTTGGTTAGGTTCGGTCATATATCTACGTTAATTTTAACTCCAATAAAAAAAAATTGACCTCATACATAATGAAATGGGTAGCTTTATCATTTCATAAGAAAAAAATTAGAGAAAATATATTAATTCAGGAAAACATGGCTTATTAGGCAAATCGGGCCTTGCATAGTAGGCCGAGAAGTGCGTTCTGGCTACTAGGTACGACATATATATATATATATATATATATATATATATATATATATATATATATATATATATATATATTCTCTATTTCATACATTAAACGTATATCATATATAAATCACTGGATATAAATATTTAATGATCAGTGATTTTCATAGGTTAATTATTATCTAATTAACCTTAATTAGATGTGAAAGGCATTTCCACATCTTGTAAGGGCTGTGTGTTGATTACAAGTGATTAAGAATATATTATATTCTATATACTTCTTTTTGTTTGACAGCCGGAGTGCCTCCTGTTCCTTACCTAACCACAAACTGAGGTACGAAATGGAAAGCAATTATACTACTACTGCTACTTCACGGGCTCACCATAGCCCGTGCTACTTGGAACTTTTTGTTCCATGTAGCAAATCTTAAACAACAACATACTACTACTACTTACGAAAAAAATGAAATAGGAGGTTATCTTGAGATGATTTCGGGGATTTTAGTGTCCCCGCGGCCCGGTCCTCGACCATGCCTACACCCCCAGGAAATAGATTTATATATATATATATATATATATATATATATATATATATATATATATATATATATATATATATATTAGTATATTTTGGTAGCAGTCTTTCCTGTAGACATATATTATTAAATATGACCGAAAAAGTAAGATTAATAATTCTAACACGAATTTTCTCAATCTTTCGTACATTTCTTTTCACTGTTGGAGGTAAATCAAAAATCAATTCTCCAAAATTCATTTTTATTTCTAGTCTGACGCGACACGAGCGCGTTTCGTAAAACTTATTACATTTTCAAAGACTTTAGTTTACAAATACACAACTGAATAGAACTTACGCATCTCCGATTTTATATCTACATTTGAGTGAGGTGGATGGGGTGAGGTGGCATTAATAGGGTATTAATTTCATCAACACAAGACAGAACAAGAGGTGGCATTAATAGGGTATTAATTTCATCAACACAAGACAGAACACGAAACAATGGGTATTGAATAGAAGTGTTTGTAGAAAGCCTATTGGTCCATATTTCTTGATGCTTCTATATTGGAGCGGAGTCTTGAGGTGGGTAGAATATAGTTGTGCATTAATTGGCTGTTGATTGCTGGTGTTGACTTCTTGATGTGTAGTGCCTCGCAAACGTCAAGCCGCCTGCTATCGCTGTATCTATCGATGATTTCTGTGTTGTTTACTAGGATTTCTCTGGCGATGGTTTGGTTGTGGGAAGAGATTATATGTTCCTTAATGGAGCCCTGTTGCTTATGCATCGTTAAACGCCTAGAAAGAGATGTTGTTGTCTTGCCTATATACTGGGTTTTTTGGAGCTTACAGTCCCCAAGAGGGCATTTGAAGGCATAGACGACGTTAGTCTCTTTTAAAGCGTTCTGTTTTGTGTCTGGAGAGTTTCTCATGAGTAGGCTGGCCGTTTTTCTGGTTTTATAGTAAATCGTCAGTTGTATCCTCTGATTTTTGTCTGTAGGGATAACGTTTCTATTAACAATATCTTTCAGGACCCTTTCCTCCGTTTTATGAGCTGTGGAAAAGAAGTTCCTGTAAAATAGTCTAATAGGGGGTATAGGTGTTGTGTTAGTTGTCTCTTCAGAGGTTGCATGGCGTTTCACTTTCCTTCTTATGATGTCTTCGACGAAACCATTGGAGAAGCCGTTGTTGACTAGGACCTGCCTTACCCTACAGAGTTCTTCGTCGACTTGCTTCCATTCTGAGCTGTGGCTGAGAGCACGGTCGACATATGCGTTAACAACACTCCTCTTGTACCTGTCTGGGCAGTCGCTGTTGGCATTTAGGCACATTCCTATGTTCGTTTCCTTAGTGTAGACTGCAGTGTGGAAACCTCCGCTCTTTTCCATGACTGTTACATCTAGAAAGGGCAGCTTCCCATCCTTTTCCATCTCGTAAGTGAAACGCAGCACGGAACTCTGCTCAAATGCCTCCTTCAGCTCCTGCAGATGTCTGACATCAGGTACCTGTGTAAAAATGTCGTCAACATACCTGCAGTATATGGCCGGTTTCAAGTTCATGTCGACTAAGACTTTTTGCTCGATGGTACCCATGTAGAAGTTTGCAAACAGGACACCTAGGGGAGAACCCATGGCGACCCCATCTACTTGCTTATACATGTGCCCATCCGGGCTCAAGAAGGGTGCCTCTTTAGTACAAGCTTGGAGTAGTTTCCTCAGAATATTTTCTGGTATGTCAAGAGGAGTACAGGCTGGATCACGATACACTCTGTCGGCTATCATCCCGATTGTCTCGTCCACAGGTACGTTGGTAAACAGCGATTCTACGTCCAACGAGGCTCTTATCCCTGTGGCCCGTGTGCCCAGCAGTAAGTCAACAAATTCCTTTGGAGACTTCAGGCTGAAGGCGCAGGGAACATAAGGAGTCAGCAGGCCGTTGAGTCGCTTCGCCAGTCTGTACGTGGGTGTGGGTATCTGGCTAATGATTGGCCGAAGTGGGTTTCCAGGCTTGTGTGTCTTGACATTTCCATACGCATATCCGGGTTTATATTCCCCAATGATCTTTGGCAGGTGGAGTCCGGATTTCTTGGCGTTCACAGTTTCGATCAGTTTGTTGACCTTTGCTTTTAATTCGGCTGTAGTGTCCTTCGATACCCTTTGGAACTTAGTTTGGTCAGAGAGTATGATGTTCATTTTCGCCAGATATTCGTCTTTTTTAAGAATGACATATATTGGCGACTTGTCACCTCTCCTGACAACTATCTCCTTGTTCTCACGAAGGCTTTTAGCTGCCGCTTTGAGCTCGGGGGACAGTATGGTGCTTCTGTAATTGCCTCGATTCTTTCCTCCTTCTGCAATAAGTTCTGCTTGTAAGGTATCTTTGGTAGTGACCTTCTTTTGTGTCTCGAGGTCGAATATGTCGTCCAACAGAATTTCCAACTCTACTTTCCGGGCCATCTCACTCGGTCTGGACATAACATGACAGTTTATGCCCAGATTTAGGAGAGTGACTTGGTCCTCAGTGAGGTTAATTCCT